CGAATTTGTTTTTCAATTTTAAACACACACGAAAGCTGATGTATTCGATAATCTACTGTATGAGTGTACATGAGATGAAAAATGTGTTTTAAAAAAAAGTTAGCAGTAACCTGGTTATTCTTGCAAAAAAGAAGAAGACTCAACGCTACACTGTGAATGCTTATTATACATTTCCAGCTATCGTTGAAATTCGACATGTGTTTGGGATTCTCATTGTATCTTCTATTAATTGACATAAATCTAGATCTTGATTCATGAGTAGGTACACACAAGTACAGGGTGGCCCATAAGTCCTTTGAGGTGGAAAAAAAGGAATAAAACCAAACTAGTTACATTATGAAGAATTATTATATTTTGTTATCATCTTTACTGAATGGGAATTATGTTTTAAAAATCACATCGTCTAAATGCAATCCATTACGATCACGGCACTCATATAAACGACATCTAAAATTGTCGATGACTGCGCGGCAAGTCAACACTGTAATGCTTGCCATTTCTCTTCGGATATTTTCTTTCAGGACATCAACTGATCGCGGAGTGGTGTCGTACACTTTACTCTTGAGGTAGCCCCATAAAAAGAAGTCAATTGGGGTCAAATCTGGACTAAGTGGTGGCCAGGAAATGTCTCCTCTTCGAGAAATTACTTTGCTGGGAAAAAGTTGACAGACGACGGACATAGAAGTGTTGGAGGTGTGGGCAGTTGCTCCGTCCTGTTGAAACCAGGTCTGCGTATTATAGCCTGGAAAATTCTGCAACGCTGGTGTCAAAAACTCTTCTATCATTGCTACATACCGCTCCGAAGTAACAGTTAATGCGCGACCTCTGTCGTCCTCAAAAAAATAAGGGCCTACGATGCCATGCGCTGACAGCAGCCCGAACTGTAACTTTAGGGTTGTGTAAGGGTTTCTGATGCTTACGCCTTGGATTTTCGGGGCTCCAATAATGGCAATTTTGTTTATTAACATGCCCGTTTAAATGGAAGTGAGCCTCGTCCGAGAACAACACATTATTGAGCGAAGAAAAACGATTCAACATTTCATTCGCAAAGTTTAGTCTCTGAATAGCGTCATTATCTTTTAATTCCTGCACTAACTGAATTTTGTAAGCGTGCAGACGTAAATCTTTCCTTAAAATCCGCTGTAAAGATGTTCTGGGTACGGTTAGTGCACTGGAACGCTTACGAGTAGACTGGGTAGGATTTTGACGAACAGACTGTACCACAATGTTGATGTTTTCTTCAATACGAGTTATCCTTGGTCGACCCCACCGCTCTTTATCTAACGTCGAACCAGTCTCTTCGAACTTAGCAACCCAGTTCTTAATCGTTTGAGCTGTTGGACACTTTGTAAAATTGTGTAAGTTGTGGTATTCTCGATATTTACGCCGCGCAATGGTTGCCGAATCATTATTTTGATAAAACGCGCGCACACAAAAAGCACGATCCGCTCCAGTGAAACACTCTATGGCGACTGAATTCCCAGACACTGAAGATACTGCCCCCACCTCGCCCGCGCCGCTCACGCTTACCCGTTAAATTTTATTCAAATTTGAAATTTCAAAGGACTTATGGACCACCCTGTACATGAGAATTGAACGAATTTAATAGTGTATTACTATAAATAAAACAGTATTTGTTGTACTTTGCTGAATTATATACAAAGGGTACTATAAAAGTTTTGCAATACAGATTTTCATTCAAAGTAATTTCCACCACATTCAATACACTTCTCCATCGGTCAAAACCAGTCCTTAACCTGCTCTGTCAACTTTCACCTGGGAGTGCGGCACACTCGTTGTCCCAATCCCTCAGAAGATCCTATCGCTAGAAAACCGTTTACCTTTTAGCTTCATTTTTACGCCGGCTCCAGACGTTGGCCCCAACGTTGGTACCAACGTTGGTCGGTTAAGTTGGTGAAGCGTCCACACGTTGGTTATTATACTAGTTCCTTTCTGTCAGAGCCAATGTGAAGATGTCCGACACCGAAACCGAAATTGCTCTAAGCGGCTTTACAGTACTGATGAGTACGTATAATTTATATTTGTTATTGAAAAAAAGAAAAAGCCACGTCAAAGGAGATGGTGGATGACAACGCATCATAAAACTCGGTACCAGTAAGTACAGACCATACACTCCATTCTAGCAGCTTTTTACAAGTCAATTTAATATTAAATTATCTAATAATTTAAATTATCGTGGCTTTTTCTTTTTTTTCAATAACAAATATAAATTATACGCACTCATCAGTACTGTAAAAGCGCTTAGAGCAATTTCGGTTTCTTTTTTAATTCCTCAATAGAATAAATCATTTTCATATTCTGTTGAATATTGCGCCATGCATCGGCTACTAAATTTCTATTTTTATGGTCCTTGCGAGAGGCGTTCCATATTATTGGATGCGCCTGGTATAACTCTAAAAATTCTACAACTTTTTCGTTTGTCCACGCGGGTAGCGATGTTGTTGATGACATATCTCCACATACGCACTCGACGCGTGTTACAACAAGACTGAGCCAGTGAGGCAATATGTTGACGGATTGCCAACGTTGGCGCAGATTCCTTTGATAAAACCGACAATCGACAGCCAACTACCAACGGTCGCTCCAACGTTGGGGCCAACGCTATTTTCTAGATACACACGTTGGGCGAGTGGCATTGGGGCCAACGTGTGGAGCCGGCGTTACATGCAGTAACAGTGCAAAGTCGCAGGGAGCAAGATCTGGACTGTAGGGAGGGTGCTCAATAACTTTCAGTCCAGTAGTGGTCAAATACTCGTTGCAGGCTTTGGCGCGATGAGCTGGAGCGTTGCCATAGTGGAGGTACCAAGTGTCCATTCTTGACTTTGGCCGCAGGTTTTTCAGGCAATTTTCCGTGTACCACTTAGCTGTGACTGTCTTCTGCGTGTCCAAAACAACACGCTCCACAATCCCGGTGGATATGAAAAATACATTTTTTCTTAACAGATCGGGATTTTCTGACCGCTACCGGTGTGTAATAATAATAATAATAATAATAATTTATTGGTACTGTTACACAAAAATGTGTTTGCACAGGTCAGTTAGAGCAGAACACAAAAGAGTAAGTAAAAACAACAAACAGTACGAAAATAAGACAAACGTAAAACACAAAATAGCAATAAAAGGTAAAAAAAAATTGATAAAACCTAGTTTAAAATTTAGATGAACAATAAAATAAGATGGTTAAAAATTTATGAAATAATAATAGTTTTTTCATATTTGTACTCAAAAGTCCTTACACACGTCTGGAGAACAATAAAATGTAATACACATACACAAAAACACAAACGAAAACAAAGTAATAAAACAAATAGTCAACAATTATGGAACAAAGTCGGTAAAATCATTATTTAAAAACTCATATATGCTGTCACTAGATATCTTTTCACAGTTGCTTCAAAAATGGTTGAGTGTTTGACAAAACCTGGGCAGCGCATTAAAAAATTTCACGCCGAAATAATTACTTCCGTGTGTAATTTTTGATAGTCTTGTGTACTCTGATATTAATTCATTCTTGAACCTTGTGTTATATTTGTGAATCTCTTTCGGAGTTCTGTAATCGTCGTAATTATTTTTAACGTAGATGGGACATTCCAGTATATACGAGTATATGCACGGCACATTTAAAATTTTTGGGTCGATAAATGTCGTCGTGTCTGAAATGTAAGTTTGCTATTATGTGAATGACCCCAAATCATTGGACACCTTAAAATATTTTTTATATTCATCCCTGGCAGGTACATCACAATAATCTCGAATCCGTTGTAAATATTCCAGTGAATATAGTGACGTCAAAATGTCGGAATTTCTGGGCACTATAGACTTACGGCGACCAACAAAAATGATGTCATTATGACAGTCTAATGTTACACTCAATTGACGTCATTATGTGACGTGAAGTCGATATGATGTGTTTATGACGTCTATTTGAGGTCGACATGACGTACAGTCGCTCGTAAAAATAGTCGCGAGGTGTATCCAAATGCTTCTGAAAAATTGAGGAAATTGAGGATGTAATAACGACGCTCTACAAAGAGTGAGTTCAAGGGTGGTAGAAAGGCACCGAAAATCATATTCTACTTACTTATCACTCTTGTACCCTTTCGTTCAGAGACGTCGTAATTCGACAGTGTACAGTGAATATAATTATTTCTTATCTCTCTCATTTCAGCAAATTTGTATATGTAATTTCCAGAGTGGATAAGAAAAAGTGGATGCGCAACTAATTTCTAGCTTTCAATCTCAATTAAGTGTATTTGAAACAAGAACCCAATGTAATTATCTTCAACATATACAACCTACAGCTTAGACCTCCAGTAATGCCATCTCAGAAGCAGATCACATCAGAGCCAAAGATTGATAACAAGCCTCATGACGTTTAGGCAACACGTACAACTAAGTGCTAAGATAACATCTTGTAGAAAAACCTACATAATGTCAAAAAAAAAAACAGCATAATGTCAAAAAAATTGACATAATATCACTTTTCAAGATACGTGATACCCATGCGGTCGAGCTCATCGCCAAGCACAATCGTCTTCTTCGCCGATGATCGGCTGAATCATATACCGTTTCAAAATTTAAACTTTTACCTTGCTTGATTACAAATATTCTAGTAAAACTTGTATATTGTTATGCAGAAGAGTTTTTAAAATATTTGTTATTTACGGGAGTAAAGGTACTTATTAGTATTTGGATATCTAGTTTACCTTACTATTCATTAAAAGTCTATAACTTTCTTTGTAGGTAAGTGTTGATTTTTCAGTTCTGACTGTCCTGAAAAAATACGTCAAAATAATAGCCTTTTGGAAGACGTCTTGTTGTCGTCATAAGAATGGCGTCGATAAAGACGTCATTTTTTAGTCCATGACGTTTTCGACCAAAAGTTACCAAATAATGACGTCATTTTGCGGGCACGATGTTAACTAGGTAGCATTTGTAGGGTGTTACTTCATGCATCAAACATATGTCTTTTGTTGCAGGTCAGTATATCTGCGGCCGATGTTGCCCTAAGGCAATACAGTGTTCCTTATATGATGCCATTGCAGATCATCTTTCATTTCCATGTATCTTTGCTGGCTGTACATCAATGCTGAATTGGGGGGAAGTTAAAGAGCATGAAGACAATTGCTTCTTTCGTAGCATCTCATGCCCTTTACCTAATTGTACAGATAGTTATAGGATTGACTCTTACAAAGACCATATTGAACAAGTTCATACGCTTCATAAAAAATCATACTCTGGTGATAAGTTGAATCCATTTGACTTGGTTTCTGCTCCACATGTTAACACACTTTGTATATTATCCGAGCGACTCTTTATTATAGTATTTGTGAAAATACACGTTTCCGAAGAAGCAGACAGGTGCATTCTCCAATTCCGTCCCATTTTGATGGGAGGCGATGCCTTAGATTTTTTCGACCTTTATTGTAAAGTTAGCATTAATTTATCTCCAAATACTACCCTTATCAAGACCATTTATCTTTATAATATTTTGCATTACGATAAAGAACGACATTGCTTAAAGTATGTGTATAGTAACATAACATGTGGATGCGAAATTCTTGAACATGTAAAAATGGATAATAGTCCAATGACCAATAATTTAGAGTTCATAACAAAAAATCAACCATTCTCATACACTGTGAAGATTCACAAGAAAAAATATTTGGAATGTTTTGAGTGCCATAATGGTTTCTCAAATGCAGAAGAAATAATATTAGCAGTAAGAGGTTTTATGCTATGTAAAAACTGTACACGATTTCCAATAATTACAGATTTCTGCAGACTATATGAATTAGATTGTTTGAATCAACCTGGAGGAATTTAATGATATTGATTCAGTAGAATAAGACCCAGCAAGAAACAATATATTTATAAAGAAGACTTTGTTTTAGGCTAGTAAACTTTCGCAATGTGAAATGACTGAGAATGTGGTTAAATATTACACTTTCACAAGAAACTGTTAAATGCGTTATTTTCCAAATAAAATACAAGATTGAATGAATTGTATAATTTATTTTCGCTGATTAAATGTCCTTGTTAATATAAAAAAAAAACATTTGTGGATATTCTACAGCTGTCTTTAACAATAAAGAACTTCATTGTTCCGACGCAAACATTACAAGTATAATGTGTACACAATATATAAAACATACAACCAACAATAATATCATGAATACTATATTCTATTTCTCGTACCTAAACTGTGAAATAGACATTATTTTGTTCTGAGATCTCTAGATACATATAACTAACACAAACTATGTAGATGTTTAGATATGGTTTGGATTTTACAAGAGGCTGGAGAAACCTTTATATAACAAAAGAGTTGTTCTTAATTTAATATGCATGCCAATTTTTAATGAATATATTTGTCATGTCTTTGTTGTAGTCAAAGCAGAAAGGGCTACAAATGATCAGTGATCAATAAAGTTTTAACCATTTTTTTATCTGTATAATATTGGAGTCATGTGGATCGCCTAAGTCTTGTCACTATACCAAGTCACAGTTTAAATTCATCCTCACATATACTCTTGTCGGTGTGAAATGGCCTATCAGATTTTGTTTTGGTAGAATCAGCTTTTATTCTACTTGTAAAGTTAGTATTTATATCAACTAATGTCTAAACTAAAGTTAAAAAATGCAAAATTATTGCTTACAACATTTTCACTAAGCACCGAAATATACTACTCATCGACTATATACTTATGTATATATCTTATACATACAAGGACAAAGAGATTATATATACATTAAGAACGATTTTGCATGTTATGGAATATGTTCCGACGACTAAACACTGTTCCTTTTAGTAAAGTGAATTTTTACAATCAACAATCAACAACAAACACTACGAAAATAAGACAAACGTAAAACTCAAAGTAGCAATAAGAGGTAAAAAAAATGTATAAAACCTAGTTTAAAATTTAGATGAACAATAAATAAGATGGTTAAAAAATTATGAAATAATAATAGTTTTTTCATATTTGTACTCAAAAGTCCTTACACACGCCTGGAGAACAATAAAATGTAATACAAAAATAACACATACACAAAAACACAAACGAAAACAACGTAATAAAACAAATAGTCAACAATTATGGAACAAAGTCGGTAAAATCATTATTTAAAAACTCATATATCCTGTCACTAGATATCTTTTCACAGTTGCTTTAAAAATGGTTGAGTGTTTGACAAAACCTGGGCAGCGCATTAAAAAATTTCACGCCGAAATAATTACTTCCGTGTCTAATTTTTGATAGTCTTGTTTACTTTGGTATTAATCTTTTGTTGAACCTTGTGTTATATTTGTGAATCTCTTTCGGAGTTCTGTAATCATCGTAATTATTTTTAACGTGGATCAGACATTCCAGTATATACGAGTATATGCACGGCACATTTAAAATTTTTAGGTCGATAAATGTCGTCGTGCAACACTGTCTGAAATGTAAGTTTGCTATTATCCTCAAGCATCGTCTCTGAACAGCAAACATTTTCGATACATGACAGGAATGACCCCAAATCAGTATGCAGTATTGCAAGTTAGATTGGAAGTAAGCATAATATGCTGTCATTAATGTCGGTTTTGATACGTAGGCATTCAAACTACGGATCATATATGTTATTTTAGATAACTTCTTTGATAAAGAGGTGATGTGTGATTCCCAAGTTAAGCTTGCATCAATAATCACTCCAAGAAATTTAACGAGTTCTACTAAATTACTTCTATGTGGACGAGTACTGAGTAGAAGAGATTGAGTTTTCGCTATGTTGATTGACAAACTGTTGGCATTAAACCAATTTTGAATGTTGTCAAAATGCTGCTGAGAATCGAGTAATACATGGTCAAAGTTACTATTGGAGGATATTGATGTCGTGTTATCCGCAAATAATATATATTGATTGATGCTAGATTTTGGCAGATCATTGATGTAAATCAAAAAAATAATCTGTGTTTGGGGAACTCCATGCTTAATAAGTACATTGTTAGATAAACTATTTTGAAAACTAACATACTGTCTTCTGTCTGATAAAGGACGCAATTAAGGACAGGCTGTTATTACTAAAACCATATAGCGACAACTTTTGAATCAAATATCATCAAATACCCAAACTTTGTTTTGAGCCTTGGTCGGCACATCGTAATAATAGACCCAAGTATCGTCACTTGTCACGATGCTGTTCACATACCGGGATTGCCCATTATCAAACATTTTCAGCATCTTTCGGTACCAACGACCACCACGAGTCTTCTGCTCTTCCGTCAGTCTAAGCGGTACCCAGAGAGACCAAAGTTTCCTTACGTGTAAATAGTTATGCAGAATTGAATGAATTGATGGTGCATGGATTTGTAAGGTCTCCTCTATCTGATGGTATGCCACTTCCGGTCTTCGTTAAGCATTCTCCTCACAGCATTAATGTTTTCCTTTGTTACTGACGTTCGCGGCATTCCTTCCATCTCAGCGCCCTCTAGAGTGAAACTGCCCCTTTGGAATCCTCAGTACCACTTGAATATAGTCGTACGATTGAGGAAAGTCATTCTTTAATGCAAGCGTCATTTCTTCTAAGCACTAGTCTACACTTAAACCATGCGTAAAGTTATACCGTAAAACTGCCACTACGTGACCACGATGCCATAGTCCGCACCTTACACTGTCAATACGAATGAGCAACTAAATCAACAGACGTGCTGCTGGCGACTACTATGCACTCATGGACATGTCTCAACATGAAGCAACATGCAGCGTGCTGCTTCAGTTTGTTAAGTCATACTGCAAAACTGTTATAGTACCTTTGTACAACCACCATGTTTAAGTTTTTTCTTCCTGAAAATCATCTCACCTATCTAGGGGCACTTCATTCAGCATTGTGAATTCGATTCAAAATTGGTGCACTGATCCAAGTCTGTCATTGGACACCTTAAAATATTTTTTATATTCATCCCTGGCAGGTACATCACAATAATCTCAAATCCGTTGTAAATATCCCAGTGAATATAGTGACGTCAAAATGTCGGAATTTCTGGGCACTATAGACTTACGGCGACCAACAAAAATGAAGTCATTATGACAGTCTAATGTCACACCCAATTGACGTCATTATGTGACGTGAAGTCGATATGATGTGTTTATGACGTCTATTTGAGGTCGACATGACGTACAGTCGCTCGTAAAAATAGTCGCGGGGTGTATCCAAATGCTTCTGAAAAATTGAGGAAATTGAGGATGTAATAACGACGCTCGACAAGCAGTGAGTTCAAGGGTGGTAGAAAGGCATCGAAAATCATATTCTACTTACTTATCACTCTTGTACCCTTTCGTTCAGAGACGTCGTGATCACCTCCGCAATTTTTCAGGAGCATTTGTACAAAGTGTATAAAGGTGGTTCATAAAGAACTAAAAAACACCGTTTGATCTCAAGACGTTCCAGTCCTCCAATGGTTCAGAATTTGTCTTGTAGCTGTTTATCAAAATCGCTTTGCTTTTCTCAGGAGGTCAAAACACTTCTTGTTTACCGGATGTCACCCAAGCCTTATTGACTATGTGGCAATACCATGGTCCTTACTAGATTGTACCACAATGTACGATAAAGCCGACTACGATGAAGCCATCGTGATGTCGGTCAAACCCATTGATTTATAAAACAAAATGGCCAAACGGCGAACACGCATGAAGCTTGGACATCGGCAGGGGTATCATGTAAAAAACCTATAAAACGTGAAAAAACCTATAAGATGTCATCTTGCAAACTAGGTAGTTTTTAGGGCGTAAACAGTAATTCCACGTTTGCTCACTAGGATCGTTGTGAATGTCCATCTAAGGAGGAATCACTCAACTAAACTACACGCATTATTGATTTATAAAACAAAATGGCCAAACGGCGAACACGCATGAAGCTTGGACATCGGCAGGGGTATCATGTAAAAAACCTATAAGATGTCATCTTGCAAACTAGGTAGTTTTTAGGGCGTAAACAGTAATTCCACGTTTGCTCACTAGGATCGTTGTGAATGTCCATCTAAGGAGGAATCACTCAACTAAACTACACGCATTATTGGTTGCATATGTTTTGTGAGGCCAAATGGTCCTTGACTGTAATTTTTATCTCTCAGAAGAAAGTTGGTTGAATAGCAAGATCGCATATGGATGATTATGTGTATTGGTCTGCATGTGATCGGTGATATTTGCTGTGTGAGAAAATCATTACTGAATATGCTGCCAATGAAGTATATCTGTTGGCTGTGCCCGACGGGTTATTTTTATGTTGTGCTTTCTGAAGAGAGGTTATGTTCAAAGTTATAAATTCCGAAAAACTGAGGAGAATTACGGGAAATCATCACCACGCCCGCGTTGTGTGCAATTACTGTTAGCATGTATATGGCTTGTAATTCGACAGTGTACAGTGAATATAATTATTTCTTATCTCTCTCATTTCAGCAAATTTGTATATGTAATTTCCAGAATGGATAAGAAAAAGTGGATGCGCAACTAATTTCTAGCTTTGAATCTCAATTAAGTGTATTTGAAACAAGAACCCAATGTAATTATCATCAACACAAACAAACTACAGCTTAGACCTCCAGTAATGCAATCTCAGAAGCAGATGACATCAGAGCCAAAGATTGATAACAAGTCTCATGACGTTTAGGCAACACGTACAACTAAGTGCTAAGATAACATCTTGTAGAAAAACCTACATAATGTCAAAAAAAAAACAGCATAATGTAAAAAAAATTGACATAATATCACTTTTCAAGATACGTGATACCCATGCGGTCGAGCTCATCGCCAAGCACAATCGTCTTCTTCGCCGAGGATCGGCTGAATCATATACCGTTACAAAATTTAAATTTTTACCTTGCTTGATTACAAATATTCTAGTAAAACTTGTATATTGTTATGCAGAAGAGTTTTTAAAATATTTGTTATTTACGGGAATAAAAGTACTTATTAGTATTTGGATATCTAGTTTACCTTACTATTCATTAAAAGTCTATAACTTTCTTTGTAGGTAAGAGTTGATTTTTCAGTTCTGACTGTCCTGAAAAAATACGTCAAAATAATAGCCTTTTGGAAGACGTCTTATTGTCCGTCATAAAAATGGCGTCGATAAAGACGTCATTTTTTAGTCCATGACGTTTTCGACCAAAAGTTACCAAATAATGACGTCATTTTGCGGGCACGATGTTAACTAGGTAGCATTTGTAGGGTGTTACTTCATGCATCAAACATATGTCTTTTGTTGCAGGTCAGTATATCTGCGGCCGATGTTGCCCTAAGGCAATACAGTGTTCCTTATATGATGCCATTGCAGATCATCTTTCATTTCCATGTATCTTTGCTGGCTGTACATCAATGCTGAATTGGGGGGAAGTTAAAGAGCATGAAGACAATTGCTTCTTTCGTAGCATCTCATGCCCTTTACCTAATTGTACAGATAGTTATCGGATTGACTCTTACAAAGCCCATATTGAACAAGTTCATACGCTTCATAAAAAATCATACTCTGGTGATAAGTTGAATCCATTTGACTTGATTTCTGCTCCACATGTTAACACACTTTGTATATTATCCGAGGGACTCTTTTTTATAGTATTTGTGAAAATACACGTTTCCGAAGAAGCAGACAGGTGCATTCTCCAATTCCGTCCCATTTTGATGGAAGGCGATGAAAGAGATCATTGCGACCTTTATTGTAAAGTTAGCATTAATTTATCTCCAGATACTACCCTTATCAAGACCATTTATTTTGATGATTTTTTGCATTACAATAAAGAACGACATTGCTTAAAGTATGTGTATAGTAACATAACATATGAATGCGAAATTCTTGAACATGTAAAAATGGATAATAGTCCAATGACCAATATTTTAGAGTTCATAACAAAAAATCAACCATTCTCATACACTGTGAAGTTTCGCGAGACAAAATATTTGGAATGTTTTCAGTGCCATAATGTTTTCTCAAATGTAGAAGAAATGTTTTTAGGAGTAAGAGGTTTTATGCTATGTGAAAACTGTGCACAACTTCCAATAATGAAAAATTTCCGCGAACTATATCAATTAGATTGTTTGAATCAACTTAGGGACCTGGAGGAATCTAATGATTGATTCAGTAGAATAAGACCCAGCAAGAAACAATATATTTATAAAGAAGACTTTGTTTTAGGCTAGTAAGCTTTCGCAATGTGAAATGACTGAGAATGTGGTTAAATATTACACTTTCACAAGAAACTGTTAAATACGTTATTTTCCAAATAAAATATAAGATTGAATGAATTGTATAATTTATTTTCGCTGATTAAATGTCCTTGTTAATATAAAAAAAACATTTGTGGATATTCTACAGCTGTCTTTAACAATAAAGAACTTCATTGTTCCGACGCAAACATTATAAGTATAATGTGTACACAATATAAAAAACATATCACCAACAATAATATCATGAATACTATTATATTCTATTTCTCCTACCTAAACTGTGAAATAGACATTATTTTGTTCTGAGATCTCTAGATACATATCACTAACACAAACTATGTAGATGTTTAGATATGGTTTGGATTTTACAAGAGGCTGGAGAAACCTTTATACAGGGTGTCCGCAAAGTTGGGGTTTTCCTTTACACGACGTGTAGATCTTGAAAACATACACAATTTTTCTTAGTACCATATACACCAATGTCTTAAGGGAACCGAGATAAAGGGCTCTGCAACATCAAAAATATCTGAATACCGTCCTTTAGCCGCGACCCGGGACATCACCGATTGGTACAAGGTCTCAACCCGACGGCAGAACTGGATCGGGGTCAGTGTGTCAGGTCAGTATGCAACCTTCAACCGACGGTTACGGTCACGCATGCAGAGGTAATCACGTAGACGAGAATCCCTCAACAGACACTAGAGACGTGGCTAGAGAAGTGCAAGTATCAAAAACTAAAGTGTGGCAAACGCTGCGTGAAGAGGGGCTGTATCCGTTTCACGTCCAACGTGTACAAGCCCTTCAACCTGACGATTTTCCAGCAAGAGTGCGGTTTTGTCAGTGGTTGTTGCATCAACATGACAATAATCCGGACTTTTTGAAGTGCATATTGGTGACAGAGGAATCTACGTTCACGCGTAATGGGGTGAATAACTTTCGCAACACTCATGTTTGGTCAGTAGAAAATCCGCACGCTGTCCGTCGGGCACATTTTCAACAAACATTTTCGGTGAATGTTTGGGCTGGCATGGTGAACGGTATGCTCACTGGACCATTTATTCTCCCAAATCGATTGGACGGGATGCAATACCTATACTTTTACGCAACATTTTGCCTTCCTTGTTAGAAGATGTGCCACTAAGTGTAACACAATCAATGTGGTTTCTGCGTCTGCTCGGTAGCGCATCAGCTGATTTCATTTTCTGTTGGAGCGGTATGATTTCGGGCAGAGACGTACTTAGCCCTTCTCGTCAACTGGAGAGTGAGTACTTTTTCCTTTATTTTTTTTTTACTTGGTCGCCCTCGTTTCACTACACATTACCTTTGTTATTTCAAGGGTAGTTGTTTCTGAAAAGGAAAACCCCAACTTTGCGGACACCCTGTATAACAAAAGAGTTGTCCTTAATTTAATATGCATGCCAATTTTTAATGAATATATTTGTCATGTCTTTGTTTGTAGGCAAAGCAGAAAGGGCTACAAATGATCAGTGATCAATAAAGTTTTAACCATTTTTTTTATCTGTATAATATTGGAGTCATGTGGATCGCCTAAGTCTTGTCACTACACCAAGTCAGAGTTTAAATTCATCCTCACATATACTCTTGTCGGTGTGAAATGGCCTATTAGATTTTGTTTTGGTAGAATCAGCTTTTATTCTACTTGTAAAGTTAGTATTTATATCAACTAATGTCTAAACTAAAGTTAAAAAATGCAAAATTATTGCTTACAACATTTTCACTAAGCACCGCAATATACTGCTCATCGACTATATACTTATGTACATATCTTATACATACAAGGGCAAAGAGATTATATATACATTAAGAACGATTCTGCATGTTATGGAATATGTTCCGACGACTAAACACTGTTCCTTTTAGTAAAGTGAATATTTACAATCTCCTGCTCAAGATGGCGCTTGACTAGAACCAACTTGATATACTTTCAATGTCACATGGCCATGACAAAGCTAGGAAATGTGTTAAAAAATAACTACGTACAATATTCATATTGTTGATACATCATGAAATATTATTGGCGAAATGAAGTGAGGCATACAGGCAAAACCAAATTTTCTGACAGCTTGAGTTCTATGTGTACGAGAGAAAAACGCGAGAGGTGTGTATCCACACATGTTAAAAAGAGATAGAAGCCTGCTGAAGAGCTAAGGTCATCACCACATAGCCCAGCAGCGGTGACGCAGAAGGGCGTGCGATCTGCCGCGTTGATAATATATTACACCAGAAAATGTTCACACAAACTGCTACAATAGGTTAGGTTACTGTCAAACCCAAGAAGGAGGTCTGTTCGAATATTTAATATTTTGTTTCCATTTTAATTTATCTTGAAATTGTCTTTGATATCCACAGATGGCGATAAAATCAATACATCCTGAGCTATGCAGTCGGAAAATGTGACTAATATCGTTACTCAATACAAATTATAACTGTCTGCAGTTACGAAAGTGAAAGCCATTTCGAAGTATTCGATACTCCTCTACGAGCGCTAGATGATTACTGACCAAAATCGCTCAACTATATGATCATGGAGATGGAAACCTTACCTTGGAATGTGCAAGATGCGGTGTTGTCAGACGAACCAATGATGCACTGTTGCAGAATTTGTGGCGATCCTGACCTTTCCAGAATCGATGCTAAACAGACTCGACACAATTCACAACAAAATTGTGTACGCTCAAAATACAATCATTCTTTGAGCGTAAAGAATAAACTAACCCATACTTTCAATATGCTTCTTTACTCGAGAAACAACATATTGACAACGCGGCAAATTGCCGCGCCAGCATAGCTAGGTAACGCGGGGATGAGTTTTGCTATCCAGGCAGCTTCTATCGCTGTCTAACATATGCGTATATACACACTTCTTTCTTGTACATATTGAACTTAAGCCATCAGACAAATTTGGTTCTCAGTGTATGAGAAGAGTTATACATCTACAGATGTAGATATCTAGATATATACAAATTTTAGTAATTTTTGATCATTTTTCTTTGGTATTATCACTTTAATAGGCAAACTCAGATTACGTTATATGCGGGGATCTTACAAATTCTGTAACGAAACGTAACTGAACTAACCATATTCCCACAAGCCGTATACTTCTGTCGCAGTGCATAATGGCTAAATAACATTCAACGACGAATTAACATGGAATTTATGTAAGTATGAGTAACGTTCTATCTGTATCCGGAAAACAATGAAATACTATTGGCTGATTCGTTCGTCGGGAAATAGTATCTTCGTTGAAAAATGGATGTAAACAATCTGTTTCAGATATTAAAAGGTGCAGTATAATAGGGGAAAAAAAGAGATACAGAGAATACATTATTGTATCATTTTATCTATTCCTCCCAGATATAGACAGGAAAGTCTCAGGCGTAAGATCACCCTTAAAATCAGATGATAGGTAAGCGATTCGAGGACAATAAAAACCACAAAGTTTTGTCTGATCTGTCTTTGATTAGTGGAGACATGTCTGGATGCAAAATACTACCACTGATCTAGGCAGGAAGGTTTCAAGCATGAGAAGTTGTGTCTTGTAATCAGATGATTCCTGTATAGGAGGTCTGCAAATTAAATAATGAGACTGGCAACGTAACGTTCTATCTGGCAACACTGGAGGCGCAGGGCTTTGAAGGGAGACAGTGGAATATGTGATCGAGTCATTTCGTTGTCCGCAGCGATTTTTTTTTGTGAAACAGTTTTTGCTATTGTATTCTCAAAATGAGTGACATCAATTTAGAGCAACGGCGTACTATGAGGTTTTGCTTCAGCCTTGGACACAGTGCAACGAAAACTCTTGCTAAACTACAGCAGGCCTTCGGAGATGGTGTTTTGTCAAGAGCTCAGGCTTTTCGGTGGTTTAAGGCATTTTCAGAAGAGTGTGAGTCGATTGAAGATGAATTACGAAGCGGAAGGCCCTGATCTTCAAGGAACGATGAAAATATCGGCAGAATCTGTAAATTTGTGCGTTTAGATCGTCTGTTGACAGTCAGAATGATCGTGGAAGAGTTAAATTTGAATCACACCATCGTTCATCAGATCAAGAACAACTGGGTGTTGCATTTCGTGAATGCTCATTGTCAAACAGCAATGTCAATAAACGAATTTTTGGCTCCTCAGCTTCCTTATTCGCTTGAATTGAATCCTTGTGACTTTTTTCCTTTCTTTAAGTTGCAAAATCACCTCAAGCGAACTCATTTTAAGATATTCGAAAACATTCAAACGGCTGTAACCGACCAGCTAAAGGCTATTCCAGTATCGGAGTTCCAGCACTGCTATAAGGAGTGGAAGAACCGTCTCCAGCGCTGTGTGGCTTCAGAACGAAGTTATTTTGAGGGTGACAATAAAATTGTAATTATATTTGGATAACAAAATTTGTAAAATCAGTCCCATCACTTAATTTGAGACCTCGTATACTATTCGAGGACAATAAAAACTACAAATGTTTGTTTCATGAGCCTTTGATGCAAAATACTTTCGTCGTGCGGTGTTGTTTTCTTGCTTAATATTCCGGAGCTCTTCTGCTTTCGTAGATCTGTTGGAAAAGTTCGTTATTAGTCGTATATCACTTATTATACTATCAATATTTTTTTTTGGTAAATTATTTTTTCAAATACTTTTTATGTTTCATCTACCTCCTTGTCAGAAAGGTACTATATTCATTTTAATTGCAACGAAAATGTAGTATTTACGTGAAAAAATGGAGGAATGGAAACAAGTTTTGGAACTCCTCGTATTATTAGATGAAGTTTTCTTGTGATTATGTCGTTGTATGCCGTATTCAAAGAGTTTTATATCACTATTGTACGAGGGATGTCTTTTAAGTTTTGCATATAGAAACATAGTAGGCCACGCGGATCGGATGTCAGTACTGAATTTTAACCTCACTCTTTAGTAAACTTAAATTCAAAGTTTCACAACAATACGTGCTGTGTTCTCACTACATTGTCACCAGTCATTAGAAAAATGGAACTCAACCGAGAACATTTTCGCGCCATAATTTATTACAACTTTCAGAGACAATTATCGCAACAAGAATGCC